GGGCGGCGGGCCTACAAGCCAGCGCGGAAGCAGCAGCGAGGCGGCGGAAGGGGGAATTGGGGCGGCGACGGGAGGCGGGGTGATGCAGGAGGGTGGCGATTTGTCCGTCGGCGCGCAGGGAAGCCGCGCGCCCCGCGGATTGTCTCCCTGCGCCCCGAAGGATTACTTGGTCATGGTGCTAGTGCAACGGGCGACCGATGCCTCGCTTGCCCGCCGGCCTGTCCGCCCCCATCCCGCGCATTTCAGCGCGGGAGCTGAACTGCCGCAGGCGCGCCGTCAGGCCTGCGGGCGGCCCGCGGGGAAAAGGGGTCGAGGCCGGGGTCGCGCGTCATCAGTGGGGCCCCGTTTTTCGTGGCCCTGGAGAGTGTCGAGTAGCGATGCAGCCGGAGGCCGCCCAGGCTCTCCGCGCCCGTGCACCTGGCGTCGCAAATATCCCCGCGGTGCATGGTCTGGCCCTGGCAAGCCGTTGGCAACAGTGCCTCGGCGCAGGAGTTGACTGGGCCAGCGCCCGTGACCTCCTTCTCGCGGGTGTCGAAAGGTCTCGATGTCGATGAAGATCAGGCCCGCCGCGTCCGAGGTGTCGATGCTGTTGCCGAGTTCCGCGAGCTTTTCGCCGCAGTGGCCAGCCTTTTACTTGCCCGCGCGGGCCCGCGCGCCGAGGTGCAGGTGCTGCAGGTGCGCCGCGCGTAGCTCTGCCTTCGCTGCCTCCACCTCGTCCTCGTCGTTTGGGTTCGCGGCCGCGTGCGCGACCTCGCCCTCGGCGTCCTTGACAAGCCCTTTGTCGCGGTTTAGGTGCTCCAGCAGGCGAATGCGCGTGCCGACGCGCAGCGGCTTCGCCACGCGAATGCCGCCCAGATCGCTGGGGTTTACCTGGTTCGCTAGCTTCGCGGCCTGGTGGGCGGGCGGCCAGGGCGAGGGTGACTCGGCTGACTGGGCGATCGAGGCGGGGCGCTTGCCCGCGACGCTTGGCGCCCCTCCTTGCGCGAATCATCGTCCAGCTTGCCATGGTGTCCCAGAAAAGGTGCGATCACGTGTTCCGTGTGGAACCGCTCCTGTCCCAGCCGCGTGTCATTGGGCTTCGTCTGGGTCCGATTCCAGTTCTTCGCGACCATGTGGGGGGGCTTGCTCTTTTTCGGCTCGCGCGCGAAGTTCATGAGATCGGCGAAGTCGGGGTCAGTGCAGCTGTTGATGGCTTGGAGCTCGAAGCGCACGTTGCTGTCGCAGAGAGAGCTTCGTGGCCCCCTGGTGCTCGACGGGCGGCCCCTCCCCCCGACCGTCGGCGGCCGCGGTCGGATGGCGCCCCCCGCAGTCGGGGGGCATCCTTGCGTGTCCGAAGGGCGACCGCTTCGACATGAAGATGAGGCCTGCAGGCGTCGACAACGACGATAGTTTGCAATTCGCAGCCCCCCAGCGACGGCGAGGTCCCGCCCTGGCCTGCCTAGGGCGCCACTCCGCTGGACCCCCAAGCAGCCTTCGAAATCGGCGGCAGTTTCGCAGTGCACGGCCCCCCCGGCAAAGGTGACGTCCAGCTCTGATCTGCCTAGGACGTTATTCCGCTGGACGCCCCCAAGCAGCCAGTACAAATGGCAGCATACTCGCAGTTCGCAGCCCCCCAAACGGCGGCGAGGTCCCGTTCTGATCTGCCTAGGACGTCGCTCCGCTTGACGCCCCCCGAGCAGCTTTCGAAAGTGGCAGGGGCTTCGCAATTCGGAGCTTTCCCATCGACGGCGAGGTCCCGCCCTGGCCTGCCTAGGACGCGACTCCGCTGGACCCCCGAGCGAATCTCGAAATCGGCGACAATTTCGCAGTGCGCAGCTCCCCGGCGATGGCGACGTCAGGATCTGATCTGCCTAAGACGCCATCGCTGGACGCCCCCGAGCAGCCATCGGAAGTGGCAGCATAGTCGCAGTTCGAACCCCCCCAGCGACGGCGAGGTCCCGCTCTGATCTGCCTGGGACGTCGCTCCGCAGGACACCTCCCGAGCAGCTTTCGAGAGTGGCAGCAGCTTCGCAGTTCGCAGCCCCCCCATCGACGGCGAGGTCCCGCTCTGATATGCGCGGGACGTCATTCTGACGGATCCCCCAGCAAGCCTCGAAAGTGGCGACAATCTCGCAGTGCGCAGCCCCCCAGCGATGGCGAGGTCCCGCTCTGATCTGCCCAAAGCGTCACTCCACTGGCCTCCCGGCAGCCTCCGAATGTATCGACATATCCGCAGCTCGCAGCCCCTCAGCGACGGCGAGGTCACTCTCTGATCTGGCTGGGACCGATGCTCCGCAGCCTTCCAGATTGGTGACAGTTCCGCCCCCCCCCGATCGACAGCGAGATTCCGCCCTGAGATGCGCAGGGCGTCACTCCGCCAGACCTCCCAGAGACCCGCGAACGTGCCGACTGTATCGCATGCGTTCGCAGCCCCCCCAGCGACTGCGAGGTCCCGTTCTGATCTGCCTAGGACATCACTCCGCTGGACCCCTCAGCAGCCTTCGAAAGTGTGGCAATTTCGCAGTTCGCAGCCCCCCCTCCAACGACGGCGAGATCCCGCTCAGATTTGCCTGGGACGTCACCCCGCTGGGCCCCCCAGCACCACTCGACAGCGACGACAGTTTCGCGGCTCGCAGCCCCCCAGCGACGGCGATGCCCCGCCCTGGCCTGCCTAAGACGCCGCTCCGCTGGACCCCCAAGCAGCCTCCTCTCGCCCTGCTCCTCCCTCCTCCTCCTCCTCCTCCTCCTCCTCCATTCCGCCTCCTCCTCCTCCTCCTCCTCCTCCCCCTCCTCCTCCTCCTCCTCCTCCTCCTCCTCCTCCATTCCGTCTCCTTATGAGTAATTTCCCCTTGTCGCTCCCAGAGGCCGGTTTTCAGGGCGGGCGGGGCGTTGCGCCTGAGACTTCCTCACCTTTTGATAACTATGAAGCTAAAGTGTTGGCAACAGTTTTACTTATGGACGGCGGAGCTCTCGCCTCAGCGCTGCGCGCATGCATTTCAAACATTTGCAAGAGTTGCGCGGTGAGGGCGAGGCGTTTTCAAAGTGTGGCTCGCACCTTGGCGCCGCGTGCGCTCGTCTGAATCATGTGCAAGAGCTTCACGGATTGAGGGTGGCTCCTTTTCAACATGTGGCTCTCGCGTTAGCTCCGTCACATGTCGTCTTGCAAGTTGCAGGTGTTTCGCGGGTTCCCATGGCCAACGTACCACAAATAGTGTTTTGGAATAGTTGAGGTTTATGAGGGTGCACAAGGTATGTTGGCTCGTGGTGTTCAAGCCTCAGGAACGGCATTCTGGCACGATTCAGGATCGTCAAGACGCAGCAGTCCATCAGATCCATGGCGTTGGAATCCCGAAGACGAGGTTTTGGCATGCTTCAGGGTCTTCAAACAGTTGTCGCCCAACGAGGCAGTTCCCTCTGTAACAATGAACCGTTGTAGGGGCCCATGAAGAGGGAGCTTGGAGGGAGGGTTATTCCAACATCGTTGATGCCCCTTGGGTTCACACTGATCCTCCTCCTCCTCCTCCTCCTCCTCCTCCTCATCATCATCATCATTCTCATCATCATCATCATCATTCTCATCATCATCATCACTACTATCATCATCATCATCAGCATCATCATCATCATCATCATCATTATCATCATCATAATTGACATCATCATCAGCAGCATCAGCATCAGCATCAGCATCAGCATCATTATCATCATCATCATCATCATCAGCCTCATCATCATCATCAGCATCATCATCATCATCATCATCATCATCATCATCATCATCATATCATCATCATCTCTGGTTCTCCTCCTCCTCCTCCTCCTCCTCCTCCTCCCCGCACACCCTCCTCCTTCCTCCTCCCGCCCTGCTCCTCCCTCTTCCTCCTTCTCCTCCTGCTCCTCCTCCGTGCTCACCCTCTCTCTCCTCCCGCCTTGCTCCTCCCTCTTCCTCCTCCCTCTTTCTCCTCCTCCTCCTCCTTCTTCTCCTCCTCTTTTTTTTCCTCCTCCTCCTCCTCCTCCTCCTCCTCCTCCTCTCTGCTTCTGCTCTTCCTCCCACTCCTGTCTGCTGGCCTGCATCCTGCATCGGGTGTTGCGCGCCCTCCGCGGTGTTCCCAAGCTGCAGCTTCGTCGCGGATTTTCCGAGCTCCGAATGCCGAGTTCCTCCCGCCCTTCCCGCTCCGAGCCCGACGAGCTCTGGCACTCCGGAAGACTCCGATACTCCGACTCCGCCTCCGCCGATGATGGCGGCGGCGACGGCGCCGCCCCGACGACGAGAACTCCGAGGGCGACGACGGCCGCGGCGACGGCGGCGGGGACTGACCAGGTCCTGACTCCTGGAGGTACCCAGAGGCATCCAGAAGGCTTCTGGTAGCCCGGCACGAACCACAAACGCCAAGCACCTCCGCAAACGCGCCAAGAGAAAGATCTCTCGATGCCCTGGGGCCGATGGCAACTCTTAGCGACGTCGGGCGCTCCCTGTTGGGGGTGCCGGGGCAGGTTCGGGGGTCTAGAATCGACCCCTGGAGCTCTCCTGGGTGCGTTTTGGGTAGGCTCGAGGGGCATCCGACCGAGGCGACGAGGAGGCCTCCAGAACCCCCCCCCCCAGAAGAGCGAGAAATGCGCCCGAAAGCCTCCATCCCCGGAGTCTGAGACCGATCTCTCACGATCGGCTCCTCGTCCCGAGTCCTTTGGTTCGACGGGCCGGTGGCCCGGGGCGAGGGCCCCGTGCAGGGCGACAGCGGCTGAGATCCTTCCGTCCCGACTTTTGTCGCGACGCGAGGACGTCTGGGGACCTGAGCGACGCAGGACAACGGGGTCGTTTGCGCCGACACTGGCGCGTGAGATGCCCGCGTAATTTTGGTCGCGCGCAAGCACCCTCGCCTCCAATGCAGCGGGCCGCGCGGGCGGCCCGCGTCAGCCGCCGCTTGAGGTCGCGGTGCCTTCTCGCGTGAGACCCCTTTTTTTAATCGGCGCTCACCCGGATCCCTTGCGAGGGGGTGTGGCGCTGTGGCGCCGGAGGCCAGCTCATCGTCGACCGAGTACGACAAGCAGTCCGTGCTGGACTTCCTGCAGGGCACGGGTGCGCAGGCCCGTCTAACGGCGCCTCCGCCGTCGCCGTCGCCGTCGCCGCCCTCGCCGCCGCCGTCGTCGCCGTCGCCGTCGCCTCCCTCGCCGTCGTCGCTCTCGCCGCCACCGTCGTCATCGCCGGGCGGCGCAGGCACGATGACGGCGTGTACGTAACATCAAAACACGATGCTGCCATCAAGTTGTCCATCGTGTCGAAGTATCAGCACCTGGGGACAATTGTCTCAATCGCAGGAACGTGTAGACCTGATGCTGGGAACGGAGCAACTGCTGGCATGGGCGCATGCGCGCTAATTGCGATCCGTGTTTTCTGTGCTCCGAACATCGCAGTTGCCTCAAAGATTCACGCCTTGCAGGCGCGCGCGCGCTGGCCAATCTGATGTTCCATGCGTGCGCTGTCGCGCCAGGCGCAAATTTTGAGCGCACGTTGAACCAAGTTTACATGAGAGTGTTGAGACGCATTGTGGATAAGGTCCGGTTGGAGTTGGGCAGAGCACAGGCCTGCAGGTGGGACAGTCTTTAGGAGCAGTACCCATCGATTGCTTAGTTATGCAGGCTAGTTTTGGGCAGAACGCAGCTGTTGGTGTTGCCGTCGTCGACGCGCAGCGGAAAAGCGATGCCATGTGGGCGGGTGGTACTTCAGGACTTTGTCACCGTGCAAAGACAGCAGCCGGCGCTCAGAGCGGGGGGGCCCGGCGAGAACGCAGGGCAGTGGTTGGATCTGATCTGCAGCTCAGACCAGCGCTGGCGCAATATCTTAGACGCGATTCTTTTCGCAGAGAGCAAGTGCGACAGCTATGCCGCGCGGCAAGGGGTGCAGCTCCATTTTGCTTGCGACATGTGCCCAGGGCCCAACAGGCGAGCCTTTGCGACTAGGTCGGCGCTCGTGCAGCACCAGCGCGCCGTTCACGGCGTTAGGAACGAAGCGAGGAGGTACGTCAAGGCGGACGGCGTTTGCCTAGCGTGCCAAATGACTTCCGGCAACGCTTCCGATGCATTCGTCACCTATCGGGACCCCCCAACGCACACATAGAGATGCTACGCTCGGGGGCTATGAGCCTCTCCCCGACGACCCTGTGGAGTCCCTGGGCAGAGAAGACAGGGCCCGGTGCCGGGAGGCGAACAAGCATGGGCATGCCAGACCTTTGGCTGCAGGACCGGCGAAGACCGCCGCACGATGCAGCTGAGATAAATTTCGCGCGCGCAAAACTTGAGACGCCTCGAGCCACCTTGGGAAGGAAAGAAAGACATCTTGAGCTATCTGGGCCGTCTTGGAGGCGATTCGGCCTGCGAGAGACGACGTTTCGGCGGCTTTCTGGGTGGCTGGCGACAGCGGCCATATCCCCATGGGGCGTCTGAACAAGAATCAAGAACCATTGGGCGTTTAGCGCGCTGGGCACCCCTTGTGACAAATCAACAGGGGGCGGCGTGGCGATCCCTTACGGCTTGAATAAGGACCAGTCGCTTTTCCTAAGGGCTCGGTCGTTCCTTAGGCTTGCATGCGTTATTTATCGTTCCTTATGCGCTATCTATTATTTAACGCTCCTGATGCGTTATTCCTAAGTGAAAAGAGGTTTCGTTCTTGATTTGTCGTTCTTTAGGTCAGGCCGATGACTGTAGTCGGGAGAAATAATCAGGGGGAGTGTGAGGGAGGTTGGTCTCGGCAGGCGCAGTTTGACTGGCCACCATTTTCCGCCGTGTGCGACCCCAGACGGTCCCAAGTCAGCCCCAAGAGCGCACAAAACGGCACAAGATGCTGTCAAGACGGCTGAACACACCTCCAAGACGGTCTCAAGGAGGCCCAGGAAGACCCCACCCAAGATCGTTCAATGACGGTCTAAGGTGGTTTTAAAGACGGACAAAACGGCCCTCCAGACGTTCCAAGAGGCCCTCAAGAGGACCCTAAAAAGGCAGACATCGTCCTATTCCGGAGGGAGAGCGTGATTTTTTGGCACATTCGCTCTCTTCGTTTTCATCCCGTCTAGGTCGGTCCAAGAGGCCCCCAAGAGGGCCCCAAGACGGTGCACATGGGCTCCAAGACGGCCCAAGAGAGCCCCAGGACGGCCCCTTTCCAGAGGCTCCCAGGAGAGGCCCAAGAGGGCCACGGGAGGTCCCCAAGAGGGCCCAAGAGCGCTCCGAGAGCGCCCCAAGAGGGCCACAGGATGGTTCAAGCCCGCCACGACGGCCCAAGAGGGACCGGGGACAGCCCAAGAGGGCCGCCAGAAGGCCCGAAAGAGCTCCAAAGGAGCCCGACGCAGGCCCGGAGAGGCCATACGCACTCATTTTCGCAACGCTGTGTGTCCGACCTCTGTCGGACGTGCCAGAGTCTTGACAATTCGGGGCGGTCCTTAGGGGCCTCTCGGGACGTCTTCGGGACGTCTTAGAGCGTCGAAAGCTCGAGAAGTTGAGAACCCCAAGAACAGCAAAACACCCAGAGGCGAACAATCCTTTTTGCTTCCTCGGGGCCCTCTTGGAGCAGTTCTTGGAGGCCTCGTGGGGGGCGTCTTGGGCGCCTCGTCGGCCGACTGCAGGCCACCTCGGGCGTCTTGAGGCGATCGTTCGGCGACTCGGGGCCCTCTTGTGCCATCCTGGGTGCCTCCTCGGAGCCCTCTTGGCCCGTCCTGGGGCCCTCCTGGGCTCGCACAGGTCACGCGACAGGACGCGGCCTGTCTCAGGAGGCACGCCGGGAGCTCCAGGAGGTTTGGCGATGTGGGGTCTGGGCCCCAAAAGAGAATCTTCAGGATTGCATGAGGACTAGGGCTCACGGGATTGGGCCAAAGACCTAGAAGGGACCTGAGGACACCGTACTTCGTGCCATAGGGGCACGGTGGCGGATGATCTCACCCGCGGAGTGGATTCCAGCAAGCTCCAAGGGCAGCCGCCAGCGTGTTTTCAAGTGTGGAGCCGCCCCCAGCAAACCCCCATGGGGCCGCCGTGTGTCTGCACGTGCGGAGCAGCCTCGAGCAAGCACCAGGGTCCGCCGTGGGAGGCTCACGTGAGGGGCAGCCGCTCGCAGCTCCAGCGGCCGCCGCGGGCGTGTCGGGCAAGCCCCGGGGCCCGCGGCACCGTGCCGCACATTACCATGCCTCGCGGCCTCCAGCGCGTTCCAGGGACCGCCGAAGCGGCTCTTTTTCAAGTGTCCAGGCAGCCCCCAGGGGCCGCCACAAGCCGCCCTAGAGCGGGGCGCTGGGGAGGGCGCGGGTCGACCCCCTGTTCGGCCACGCGTAGGAGTGACCCCTCGCCAGGGTGACCGTTGTTGCGGGCCCACACGGGTCCCCCCAGCAGTTGCCTTCCCGCCTGGATTTGCTCCCCCCTCCCACCGCGGCCCCCTCGAACACCGCACCAGAGGTCACTCTTGCCTAGGGTCACAGTCGCGTAGCCGGGTTTTCCTCGGGGAGTCGCCAGGGAGCCGCTGGAGCTTCGTGTCACGGTCTCGGCTGCGGCCCTGGCCTCAGAGGCCCGCCAGGGCCGTTCGGGGTCACTTACAGGAGGTGGTGTGATCAATGCTACGGTCGGGGACTTTTGCTGAGCGTGTTGCTCCGCTGGCTCTGGCCCTCCGCGCTGTGGCGCGACACGCTGGCCACATCCTGGCCCCCCAAGCGTGAACGTCCCGAGCTCTTCACAGCCTCCCGCCGCGCGGAGCGGAGCGACACGCGTTCGACGTGCAGGGCACAGCGTGTCGCCAGGGCCGCCGCTGCGGCACGCTATAAGCAAAACCTCCTAACATAATATATGTTGTTTTCTGCACACAGACGAAGGAGAGGGGCATAATGTCTCCTTGTGCCGTTTGGAGGTTTTCATTCGCGGTAGGGGGGGATGCTTGATGAGGGAGTGGGGGGATGTGGAGGAGGAGGAGGAGGAGGAGGAGGAGCAGGAGGAGGAGGAGGAAGACCAGGACGAGGAGGAGGAGGAGGATGACGCAGAGCGACTAAGTTCAGCCCCAAATTCATCACAGATGCTGCAATGTACCCTCCCGTCTCAAGTCCACTCCCCATACTGTCATATGGCCTAGATTTTTTGTTCACTACAAGCAGCGTCCCCTTGTAAGACCAGCAGCCGATGGGCTCGCCATTGGGGCGGGGGGGACGTTGTCTAAAAGAGCTGTCTTGCATCTTTCTACCGCGTAATCTGGAATGTAAACATATGGGTATATCTCCATGTGTACACACAGACACATATATAATATATAACTACACATGTGACCTTTCAGTTCAACGAGTTGTCTAACGATGTTCCCGTCGTGAAAGTGGGCCGCCCCTTATCCGTATAACTGTTGCTCAAGTTTGCGCTTCCGGTTATGAGTTTCGCGCTCGTGTCAGGCGGCATTCCCATTGTGAAAAAGGAGCCGCTCTTCACCCATGCAGCTGCTGCATACGTTGAGGTTCTGGTTGTTGACTTTGAGAATTTCTCACGCGAGAGTCCCATTGTGAAAAGGGGCCGTCCTCCGTCCTTGTAAGTCGTGCAGGGTTTGAAGACGAACGTGCGCGGCGCTGTGGCCATAGCCAAATTTTGAAAGCGACTTGCGTTTCAACTGTGGCAAGTGCGCGCGGCGCTGAGGCAAGCGCCCCATGTTGAAAACGGCGTGTGCTTCTTCCGTGTAGCTCTCGCACGTTTTTCAGGCGAAGCGCGGCGCTCAGCCGAGATTTCGGTTTTGAAAACACACCCCTCTCCACGCAAGTCTTTTAGGACAAATGGGCACGGCGCTGAGGCGAGAGTCCAATTCAGAAAGCGATCTGCGTTCCTCCTTGTAGCTGTTGCGAATGTCATGTTTCAGGACCATACATTTTAGACCGCCCAGCCCGCCCTACTGACACGCCTCGGGGTGCGACATGGAGGAGTTATTTTATAGGAGCAAGGATGGAGAATGCGGGGGATAGGGGAGATGAGGAGGAGAAGGTGGATGGGGGAAGCAGAAGGGGAGCAGGGGAAGGAGGTACCTGCACGACGTTCGGTCTACCGTTCGGCAACGCCGACGTTCGTTGTTGGAGTCCTCCACAACGTTCGTTCTGCCGTAGGAGTCCTGTGCAACGTTCGGTCTGCCGCCCGTCAATCGGCAACACCGAGTCTTGATCGAGCCCGTTCGAGACCAGAGCGGCTTGAGCAAAATACGGTTACAGACGGCGGTAATGATGTAACGACGATGATGTTGCCGAGGAATCTGTCGATGATGACGACGAGTACGATGATGATGACGGTGATCGTGGCGACGCTGATGCTTATGACTACACCGGCCATGGTGACGACACTGATACTGATGATGGTAACGGTGATCATGCTGATGGTGGTGATGATGACGATGATGATGATGATGATGATGATGATGATGATGATGATGATGATGATGATGACGATGATGATGATGATGTTGTTGTTGATGATGTTGATGATGGCGATGGTGACGATGAGGATTATGATGCTGATGCTGCTGATGATGATGGTTGTTGGTGATGATGGGGGAAGTGATGGCTATGGTTGTTATAACGACGACAGTTACGATGCTGATCGGGATGGTGGCGCTGGTGATGCTGCTGATGACGATTGGTGACGACGGCCACGATCCTGTGGTGGTAACAGTAGGACGAGGTTGCCAGCAGGTTGTGCTACCCCCCGTGTCGGTGGCGTGATAACTGAGCCCGTCCCCTTGGCAGCCACTGGGCAGGGCTACGTCCCGAAGAGCGGCGAAGTGACAGGCATATTGAAGCAGATGCTTGACAGCTTCGCCTCCAACCTCAAGGACGATGGGAAACGGCAGGAGGAAGATTAGGCGGAGAGGAGGATCGTGTTCCAAAGGAGGAGGCGGAGGATGAGGAGGAGGGAGGAGGAGGAGGAGGATCCGTAGGATGGTGATGCTGGTATCGATGCCGATGCTTTTTGATGGTCACGTTTGTTCATGCCAAAACGGATGATATCGCTGGTGATGAGTGTGGTGATGCTGCTGATGCTGGTGGTGATGGTGGTGATAGTGATGGTGATGGGAGCAGGCAGGGGGAGGAAAGAGGATAATGGCATGGAGGGAGGAGGATAGGGGAGGGTAACGAGGATGTGGTGGTGGTGGTGGAGGGCGGAGAGGGGAGGAGGAGGGATGACGAGGACAAGGAGGTAGTGGATGCTGGCCAGCCTCGCCTCAAATCTCAATGGCGCCCAGAGGCGGAAATGCAGAAAAAACATCGAAAGTGAAGCCCCTCAGCACAGCGCACGAACAGCAGCAAGGCTGAAGAGGCGGGTCGGGAACTAGGAGGTAGGCTAGATGGGGACAGGGGTGGGAGCACGGGCATATGCACTTGAGTGTTTTTTGCAAAAGGATCGCGGCCGTCCCGCCCAAACATGGAACCGGTATTCAGGCGAGAGCAAGATTCTGGAATCAAGTGTCCGGAATTCTCGGGCAATGCGGCCGCCGGATCGGGCGGTCTTGGGCTCCCCGTCTCCCCTGCGGGACTCTTCTCTTGTCCTTCTCCTGCCGCTACCGAAACCCTCCAGCGAAACGCTATCAGGGAGTCGTTTTGTCGGAGGTCTGGCGCACACACTCCCCACTCCCCACGCCTTGGCATCGCTCGGACGTGTGCTTTTTTTTCTTCGGCGAGGACCATCGAGGAGCATCCTTGATCATTTGGCGGAAAAAAAGCACGCACGAAACCGACAAAAAACACAGGGAACGGACGTCCGAGCGATGCCCAGACACCCCCCTTTCCATCCTCGCCCCTCTCCACAATTACACAGTATGGATACTACTCTCCTCTCTCTCTCTCTCTCCTGATGACGTCCGGAAGATGTCCGGCCCCCCTCCGCGTGCGGTTATTTTACACACAGGATTCCTGGGAAATAGGTATTCGCTTGTTTTTGTGTTTTTTGTTCTTCCTTCAACCTTTGCTCCCGCTGAAGCGCTGGCCCCATTTCTGCTCTTCTGGTTGTTCCAAATTGTGCTCCCGCTGCAGCGCGGACGTTTCTGGTTCTTCTAACTCGGGCCAGAATTTAGAGAAAATGACCTCCCGAAAAAACCATCGGAAGTGATCACACATTCGGTGCCGATTCGTTGATTTTTGGGGCCGCAGAGCCCCCCCACACACTTTGAAGCGTCGTCGTCTTCAGGAAGTATCACGCGGGAACCCCGTTTCTGTGTTGAGAAGGGGATGTTGAAAGCAGAGCCAGCGGGTGCTCTCCAGCAGCCCCGCCTTGTGTGGAGCTCTTCGGGGAGCCCAAGGAGCTAGACATGGAGGCACGACTCCAGACCGTCCCAGACCTCTCGAAGACGCTCCACTTGCCCTCCAAAGGAACCCGGCGCCATGCCGTGACATGCTGTGCAGTGTTGTATTTTGCGCCGCTGTGAGATGCCATGCTGTTGCAATGCTTTGTGATGCAATGCTTCACTGCGCACTGCCACGCTATGCTATGGCGTGCTACGCTCTGCCGTGCCCTTCTACGCCATGCCGTGCCGTGCTCTACCATGCATCGCGTACCCTCTTGCGATCATTGCCCTGCTTGACATCCGACTGTGCGAATAGAGAGGATTCCTTCGCCATTGTAAGGGGTGGGAGGGAGGGGTAGGACGTCATATACGACGCGAGCGCACTTTGTTTGCCCCTCCCCCCTCCCCCCGATGCCCTCCCCCCCTTCCCCCTTTTTCCTCCCTCCCAATTCCCCCCTCTCGCCTCTCCCTCCCCTCGCCTCTCCCGCCTCGCCCCTCCCTCCCCCTTCCCCCCTCTCGCCTCTCCCTCCGCCTCTCGCCTCCCCCCTCTCGCCTCTCCCGCCTCGCCCCTCTGCCCCCCCCTCCTCCCTCGCCCCCCTTACCCTCCCTCCTCTCCCTCTCGCCCCCCTCTTTTCCGCCCTCGACAGCTTCATACTATGAATGCTACTACTCTCCTTTTTCCCCAGACTACGTCCAGAGAGCGCCCTCGGAGTAGCCGTCCCCCCTCGGCGGGTTTTTTGTTGTTATAAGTATATATAGATATATACATATGTATACATATGTTGTGCGCAATTCGTTGTTCTTATGTTTTTTTCTCGATTCGTTCGGTTGTGCTCCTCCAAAATGGTGCTCCCAATGCGGGGTAGGCTTAATTTTCGGATCAGCGCTGTGCTCCAGTCGTTCTGAATAGCCCTCCCGCCCCAGAATGGGACTTTCTTCTGGATCTCGGAAGTCTCGCAGGTCCGACAGGTCTCGCAGGCCCCACAAGTCCCACAGGTCGCACAAGACCCACAAATATCGCAGGTCGTCCCACAGGTCCCATGGGTACTACTGGTCTGACAGGCTTCACAGGCCCACAGGTCCACAAGTGTCACAGGTCTCCCATGCCCGCCAGGTCCCACAGGTGCGACAGGTCTCGCAGGTCCCACATATCCCAGAGGTGTCGCATGTCTCACAGGTCCCACAGAGATCTCCCGTGTCCCGCAGGTCCCTTAGGTCCCGCCGCTGCCACGGGTTCCAGAGGTCTCGCAGGTTTCACGGGTCCCACAGATCCCACAGGTCCCACAGGTGACACAGGTTCCACTGGTCCCATAGGTGTCGCAGGTCTCACAGGCCCCACAGCTTCCTTCCTTTTTCCGACTGCGCATTGCACGATGGGGTCTTCTGTGAAGTTCCAGGCCGGTTATGGTGCGCGTCCGCGGATAAAGAGAACAATGGGAAGGGATGGGAAGAAGAGAGGGAGGGGTACGATGCAAGATATGGCGCGAGCGCACCTGGCTTGCCCCTCCCCCTCTCTCTTTTCCCTCCTCCCTCCCCCCTCCCAGAGAGAAGAGCAGCGAGGTCCGAGGCACCCATCCCCAACGCGATGCCCGGAAGAGCACAGCACGCGGCGAGGGACGGCGCCCCAGCTCGGGAGCGGAAAAGAGGGGGGTGCTGACTTGGGGGGGGGGGAATTTCGTGGCGCGGGCCACGATTTTTCCACAGGTTTCATGGCGCCTCTGCTTATTTCATTGCGTCCCAGGCCCCCCCGCTGGGCCGCGCACGTGCCGCCGGTCATGATTTGCACCCCCCCTCTTGGACACCCCCCTCTTGGCCGCTCCCGATAAACCACCACCGCGGCCGATCGCACAGATGCCGCGTCGGGCGAGAACGCCGGTGCGAACAAGACACTGCAGGCGCAGGCGGCGCCGTGGGAGGAGGGGGGGAGGAGGAGAGAGGAGGAGGAGGAGGAGGAGGAGGAGGAGGAGGAGGAGGAGGAGGAGGAGGAGGAGGAGGAGGAGGAGGAGGAGGAGGAGGGAGGAGGAGGAGGAGGAGGAGGAGGAGGAGGAGGAGGAGGAGGAGGAGGAGGAGGGAGGAGGAGGAGGAGGAGGAGGAGGAGGAGGAGGAGGAGGAGGAGGAGGAGGAGGAGGAGAGGAGGAGGAGGAGGAGGAGGAGGAGGAGGAGGAGGAGGAAGAGGAGGAGGAGGGAGGAGGAGGAGGAGGAGGAGGGTGGAGGAGGAGGAGAATAAGAATAATAAGGACGAATGGAAAAATAATAAGAAGAAGCAGGAAGATGACGAAGAAAGAAGAAGACGAATAATAAGAATATTAATAATAATATGAAGAAGAAGAGAAGAAGAAGAGTAGATGGAGGAGGAGGAGGAGGAGGAGGAGGAGGGGAGGAGGGGGGGGGAGGAGGGGGAGGAGGGGGAGGAGGAGGAGGAGGAGGAGGAGGAGGAGGAGGAGGAGGAGGAGGAGGAGGAGGAAAAGGCCCTCGCCTCGCCGGCCCCACGCCCCCGCGCGTGCTGCCGCCGGGGCCTCCCGAGCGCCCCGCGGGAGCCCCCCGAGGAGGTCCAGGAGGCGGAGGCGAAGGCCGTGGCGACCTTCGAGGAGCTGACGACGGCCAAGTCGAAGCAGGCCTGGGACGGCGGCGGCGGCGACGGCGACGGATTAGTTGCCGCCCTCGGGCGAGGAGGTAAGATAAGATGAGACACTGGGCATCGCTCGGACGTGTGCAATTGTCTCGGCGAGGGCCATCGAGGAGCATCCTGGGCCATCGAGGAAATAAGAACACGCATGACACCGAACAGCTGCACGGGAAATAGGCGTCCGAGCGACGGCAAAGGCAGCGGCCCGAGGCGCCTGCCTCGAGGCCGGAGGCGCTGTCGCGTCGCGCCTCGGAGGCCGGCTCGGGCTCCTTCCTCTGCTTGCGAGGAGGCGGAGGAGGAGGTGGAGGAAGAGGAGGAGGAAGAGGAGGAGGAGG